TTATCATCAGGGGCTGGCTTCGATTAGTGCTGCGTGGCTCGCAATCTTTTTTCGGGGCCATGCGGCAGCGGCAGTGGTGGACACCTCACAGCGCTTAGGTCTCCATCTGCACATCGCAGCTCGATAACTACCTGGACGGATACGACCAGCCTCGAGCTGGCGCTGCTGCAAATCATACAGACAAGTCACTGCCCAACGGTCTTCTCATTACGTGACGATCTCTCTTCTCGGAGCCCTTCCGAGCAGCTTCCACCGCAGTGGTGTCTGTCTCCCAGCCTTGCTCGTGCCACGCTCCTGCGCTTCTCTACTGTACGCTTGGACCCTTTCTTTTTCACCCCCGCCGCCTCTCCGGAAAAACTCTGCGACACGAGAAAATGTCGAAATGTCGACTACAGTCTTCATCTGGTTGCCGCCGCCGCGTCTTCCGATCAGTCCCGACGTTTTTCGGCGCCACTCGAGCCCAACGGAGGTCCGTCTCTGCCGCCACCGCCGCCATCGGTCCGGGGTCTCCGGCCATTGCCGCAATTTGGGTGGGTGGATGCCGCAATTCTCAGTCCAATTCCACGGCCCTGAATGCGAAGTAGGGACTGGGAACTAGGGATAGGCAACGAGGTTACGAAGCAGGGCTCGCTGCACGCCGCTACGGAGTCCACGGACCGTCTGTCAAAGAATCAAGCTCGGTCACGATTCGATGTCACTAGCAAGGGAGAACCACTCCCATTCCCACGCCGGGTCCGGTGCAGGCGAACAGGTGCAACGCGCGCTCTCGGTGACGAAACCACCGACACCCTGTGGCTGTGGCAGTGTGGCGTGCGGCATCGGTCTCGACGGTGTGGCCCCGAAAACTTTCGAGGGACAATCGACCCGACCGAGCGACCGAGCCAGTGCGAGCTGGACCCTGCCCTCTCTCGCAGGGCACACAGGGCATCCAATGCACACCAGATGAACCCACAGGGGAACGAGCGGCTGGGTCGTGGTCCTGTCCGTCGCCTCGTGTCATGTCGTGTCTCGGCTGTGAGCGGTATGTGCGGTATGAGCGACGAGCCGACGTCATGGCGATCGACTAGACGCAGATTGCTCCGCGACTCGCGCCGCGCCCGTATGCCAGGCAATCGAACAATCGAGGTTTCGATGAAAACTGGGACGAACGAAGTGCCGTGGAGTGGACCAATGGAACACTGCGAGTCGTTGGATCCACGAATCCACCAACACCCAAAGCACCGCACCGCACCGCACCGCGCCGCAGAAGCAGACTAGTCTGGGACAATGACGATTCGCTTCGGCTGCGGCGCATCAGCTGGGCAGGTGGCGCGACAGCCGCTGCCAATCCATGGGCTAGCGAGCCACGCCCTGAGCTAGTCAGTTGGATGTGGTTAGTAACCGTCCGCACCACCACACCATCGCCAGCGCGACTGCGCAAGTACCAGTACGAGTATACATTCGCCTCGGACACTCGATGTGAGTACTTGTTTCGTGCCAATACGGTTTGTGCCCTGGTACGGACACCTGCGCTTGCTTCACCTCTTAGACTGCTCGTTGCGGTCTCGTAGCAAACACGGCGCACATGCACCTGCACCTGCACCTGCACCCGCACGCATCTGTACTTATACTTGTATCTACGCTCTACAAGCCGCTCTACAAGACATGATCCGTATATAGATTTACTTATAGATCTAATGTCGAAACGCTGCCGTCGACAGGTCGCGCCGAGTCGCATTCTCCAGTGCGCGGTGCACCGTGGGGGGTACGCAAAGAAAGCGGGGGTATTCCTCGCCGCTCGTGAACTGGGGGATGAACTCGCAGCCACACGCCGGGCCGCATCACCCTGACAGATCGACTCGTGCTCTGAGCACGGCGCGGCACTCCACGCTTTCCACACTCTCCACACTCCCCGCATTCTTCGCATTCTTCGCACTGTCCCCACTCTCCGCACTCTGTGCACTGTCACCATTCTCCGCGCTCTTTGCACTCTCCTCACTCTCCTCGCTCTCCGCACTCTTTGCACTCTTACTCTCCACTCCGCGGTTTTCCGCACTCTTCACACTCTCCGCAGACAGCTCACTCCTCTCACTCTTGCTTGATCCACTCGATCCACTCGATCCACCCGATCCACCCCAACGATACACTCGCTTTGCTCGCTGCGCTCGCTCCGCTCACATGATCACACAATCTTCCTGCTTTCTCTGCAACTCATCCACCAGCCCACCGGCGTCGCGCGTCCTCCCGCCCACTTCCCTCCCTTGGAGGTCCACGACGAGGACGCCCGAGTTGCCGTTCTCGAGGTGGGCGGTGAGGCGGTATCTGCGCGGAGCGTCAGCGAGGGCGCGCGGATGGGCGGGGGGGGGGGGGGGGGGGGGGGGGGGCGCAATGCTCCGTGAGGGAGCCGCCGACCACGTCGGGTCCATGGTCAGGTCATGGTGCGGAGTGAGGATAGACGCCGCGGACGCGGAGAGGGATTCGGACGTCAATGCGGCTCTGGATCTCGTGAAGGAAAGGGAGGGTGCAATGATCCGCGCCACGCCACGCCACGCCACGACACGCCAAGCCGCGAGACATGCGGTCAAAGGCTGCCGCGAGGGAAAGAGGGTGGGTGCAACGATCCAAACGAGCCACGCCACGGGTAGAGACATCATTACCCCCGAGCCCCAGCTAGGACGCAAGCGGGACCGAGCCATGCCTCCAGGTCTGTTCCGGAAGTCCCGGACGTCCCCGGAAGCCCATCCTGCCCGGCCCCCTCTGCCGCTACGGCCCGAAATCTTGCCGCCACTGAACGACCCCACATCGTATCATCGTGTCAACGCGTCACGTCCGCACTCACTTCGCCATGAGCTCCTCCACCGCCGGCTTGATCTTCGCCTGGTGGTTCTGCGAGTGTATCCCTTTACCCACAATCACGCGCAGCTCGTCCTGCCCCGACCGCTGGGCCTGGGCGATGGCCGACTCGGTGCGCTCGATGGCTTCTTTCACGTAGAGACCGTGGAGGTCGATGGTCCCCGGTGGGCATTGTTTGTTGTTCTCTACGGGGCGGGCAGCGCGGCGCGGAGCGGAGCGGCGTGAGGCAGCAGGGGAAGGGGCGGGGGGACGGATGGGGTGGTTGGAACGAGCCGGTGCGAGGAAGGGCAGAGGGGAAAGATGGAAAGATGGGGTTTGCACCGAGATGAGGAGTCGGATCAACGAGGAATTATCCAGAGAGGTACATTGGAGCATTGGCAGAGACACCGAGTGACGGCGAGAAGAGCCCATGTCAGCGAGGCACGACCGGTGATACAGTACTCGGCTCCGCGTCGCGCTCCGCGCTCACTCACCATTGAATATCCAATCCGCGGCCTGGTCGTCCAGCTGGTCCTGCTTCTGCTGATGCGACTTGCCCTGGACTGAGAGGTCGTGCGCTCTGCCGCCGTCGCCTGATCTGGGGCGGGTGTCAATGCTGTGTGGAGACGCCGGGACGCCAGGACGTGGACACGCAAGGAGGCGGACGGAGGGAGGGATAGGGGATCGAGGAGAGGAGAGAAGGACCCACTGGTACGCCTGTTGACTCTCTGCAAAGCATCTACGGATGGGTCAGCGTCGCTTTCGGGTGTGTGTGAACGTGGGCGTGAGCGTGGGATTGGTCTCGGGCGAGCGTGCGCGTGGGCGTGAACATGAGGAAAGCACAGCGATCACGGCTTCGGTACAGTGCACGGAGCGGCGCGGATCCATGGGATCCGATGCAAGCGTCACAGATAGGTTCTACCCACCTGTGCGCGTCGTCGCCCTCACGTCGAGCCTGGTTCCGGAGCTGCTGATACTTCTCGTTCGTGGCGTTGATCATGTCGTGATTCTGCGACGTCAGCGAGTGTCTCGAGAGCGCGTGGCCACGGCGCGGAGTGAGCGTGAACGACATGTCGTGGTGAGACGGACAAGCAGCGCTCCCGCAGACCGGACTTCGCGTGCAGATCGGGACTGGGGAGGTCGCAAAGAGATGCCGGATGCAGCGCTTACCTGCTGCGCTGGGTGATGCTGGCTCATGACACCCCCAGCGGGGATCGCGTTGGGACCATGACCATGCTGCTGCGGCTGCTGCTGTGGCTGGTACTGGTGATTCGGTTTCCCGTGCGCTTGCCCATTCTGACCGTGGCTCTGATACTGTCCATTCTGATGTCCAGCTACTTGAGACCAGCTCTGACCCTGCCCCTGCTGCTGGTGTTGCAGCGGGGGGAACTGTTGTTGTTGTTGTTGCTGCTGCCATCCGGGTTGTTGTTGAGGAGGATACCCCTGCTGCTGCTGCGAGTACTGCTGTGGGGGGTACTGCTGCTGCTGCTGCTGGTCCTGCCCTTGCGAGCCTCCGCAGAAGGCTTTGAGCAGGAGCTGGATGATCTGCACGAGTGGGTTCTGCGCCATGGCGAGGGTGGGGTGGGGGTGGGGGTGAGGGAGGCGTAAGGGAGGTGGGAGACAACGGGGTTATTCTAATCGAAGACGGCCCCCGTGGAAGAGAACGAAGCCAGTCGGAGGCGAAGCGGGCTGGGCGCTGACGAGGAGAATAGGAAAGAAAGAGCAAATGAGCAAATGAACGAGGGTTGTGCTAAGAGCCTCGAAAGTCACTCCAAAGCAAAGCCAAGTCGGTGGGCGATCGGCGAGTGGGGGCACCCTGACACCCTGAAATCCATCGCGATTTGATCCCGCGAGACAATGACAAACGTGGCGGCGATCCGCAGCCACGGCCACCACTTGTGGCACGCTACACGACAAGCGGATCTGCTCAGCCAGGCCTGTGAGGCGAGCTCCCAGTGGATGAGACACGGCAGCCCACGCGACCGCAAGGGTGTAAAGGTTGTCCTACTCCAAGACAGCCAGACACTTCGCCAAAAAAGCACATCGAGCCAAGGTCCGCTGTTGCAGGTGTCATCCCTGACCACCACACCATCCTGAAGGGTCACTTAGGACACCAGGATGTTACAGTCCTCTTCGACCCTGCGGGCACGGCTGTGTCTCGACTTTCGCGCCGTTTCGGCGCTCTACGTTCTCTCGGGTGTGAATCGAACACACGATCTGAGGATGATGGGGGTTGGTTTAGCCGTTACAGTCCTACGCGATACCCCTTCGCCACCGAGAGGATTCAAGTTTGGTGGGATGCGTGGATATGACGAGGAAAGCGGGGCGAGCGGGACGGGACGCGGGTGGTGACGGATCTCGGAGTGGTTCGTGATTCTCGTGGACTGCGGGCAGTGGTTGGTGGTTGGCAGAACGGATGGGTCGTGCGGTTCTGCGCTGGACGGGTGACGACGTGGCTACGGCGTGAAAGCGGTGATAACCAGGGATCGAGGTGGTAGACGTGCATGATGTACGTGTTGGTGACCGCTCCACCAGCGGGCACCACCACTGTGCACTGTATGGGGGCTGACTGTGTCGGGAGGGGCCAAACAGCAGCGCTCACCTTCGCCTGTCGGCGGTGAGAAGATCATCGGCGTGTATCGGGGCGCGATGATTCCCACACGAAGATGCGGGCGACTGGAACAGCAGTACAAGTACAAGTACTAGTACGTTTGAATACTCTTGGTACTGTTGTCCGAGAGTGCCCAAGCCCATGGCGCTTTGCTCACTGTCCCGTGCTCGCTCTGTCCGCTGATTGCCTACTCTTCCGAGTGGAATCAGAGGACCGTGGACATGTCCCTCACTCGCTCAGAGTCCAGGACTTGCTCTTCTACGGATCATTCTCACTCTCGCGATGCTCGCTTCACTGTAGCAGCAGACCCGTTTGTCACCCCTTCTAATCGACGAACCGAGACAACGTGTAGTGCCGAGCTACCACAAACTGCCCGGAGCAGCCGGCCCCGGAAGGACCGCATCGCTCTCTCCTCCGCCGAGCACTACCGGCCATCCCCGGTCCACGATCCATGAGCGGACGGCCACGGACGGAACGATACGAGTGAATGGTACTGTGCAGTGTTCATTCCCCACCCCAAACTTCCTGGTCACCCTCCCGTATTCCCATTCCCATCCTCGCCCACGCCGCTCACTCGGATCCCGTACGTACTTGTTGTCCACGGGCTCATCTGCTCGTCCGCTCGTCCGCAGGCGTGGTCGGGCCTGGTCCCCCGAATACGCATCATCCATAACCAGGATGCCCGGATCCGGAGCCGGAGCCCGCCGGGAGGATGCAGTACGAGTGCACCGCTGGATACATTATCCCATGTCTCCGTAGAGATGAGGCCTGCTTCTACGGTACTGTTCCGCGACTCTGCGCGCCGTGGAAAAGCAAGGCATCTAACCGTACGATGTACGAGTACCTCCGAGCGGGCCCGAATCCCGACCGGAGAATCAGCTATTGCGCCGATGCAGTTCTTGGTTCGGCACAATGGGCTTGGACTCCTGGAGAGCAATGGAGCAATGGAGGAATGGAAGAACCGAGCCATTGGTATTGACGCAATTCGTATTGCCGTCCCCAGTATCCGCCGGTCCGGAGCAGGGTCGGTCGCTACGGTAGCGAAGTCAGGGAACGGAGCGGCCATGCCGCCGGCCTGCGACGGGGCTTGGCTCCGCTTCTCTCGCTTCTCTCGGTTGCGGTTGCGGTTGCGGTCGCGGGTTTAGACGGTGATGCCCGGCATACCGTACGAGTACCGGCGCCCGTCTCGTACCGTTCCAACACTACTTCGCCTTGCTCTGACGTTTCGTTTTGCGGCATGTGGTGTTTTTCCCCCTCACACGTCTGTCATGTGTGTCATGTTCCGGTGTTCCCGCGCCGAGTGAGATGCATGTGGGGTTTCTCGGTGAAACGAAAGCGAGCGGCGAGCTCGCCGAGTTTGTCACTGGCTTGGGACTTGGCTCTGGACGGAACACGGCACTCGAGAGCCGTACTGTGCCACGCGCCCACGCCAACTTGTCAAGCGAGCGGACACCACGGTGGAACGACGGGCCACCGCAGTATTTGCCGGCGGCATTTGGCCGGCGCGGCGCGGCGCGGCTCGATGCAGCAGTGGTCGTCGGTCGACTCGTCGTCGGTTCGCCCGGCGAGACTCCGGCGGTAGGCTCCGGCATGGGTCCGGGGAAGGATTCCTGGGGAATGTAGGCGTCCGGCGTACGTAGGTTGGGTCGGGAATGTGAGGTGGAGCCTGGACCGCTCTGTGGCGAGTCGGGGGTGAGGCGTCCGGCGGGTCACTCGACGCTTTTTTGCTTGCTTAGGTCGGGACGCATTCTCGCGACTGCTGCGCTTCACGAGCAGTACCATAGCATGAATACAAGGAGGTGTGTCGGGCCGAGCCCACCTGCCCGAGGGTGCGACGTGTCTGTGTGACGTGCGTCCGAGTTCGCCCCGAGGCGAAACGCACGGGCCGTTGCGCCGTTGCGCCGTTGCATTGGCGTTTCAGCGTTTCAGCGTTTCAGCCCGCACGTCCGCACCCCCCGACGCTCGCCGCACGCATCGAAGGCGAAGTCGCGCCGGGCTCATCCGAATGGCGGGAGGTGGACTCTGACTCGGTATGTCTTTGTGCCAGTGCGAACCGTCCCAACGCTCCGTCAGACGAATCCTCACCTCCACCTCGGGACAACGGTCCGGCGGTGCTTGCGGACCGTAGGGACGGTGTGGAGTCTGGACTGACACCGAGTCGTCGCGCGGACCGGGAGATGTGGAGGTGCACACCCAACTAGGGGAACAGGCTTCGCGTCACTTGATCACCTGTTCACCTGGGCACCTGGTTACCTGTGCACCTGTGCCCCTGCGCGCTTGATCACCTGTGTGTCTGTGTCACGCTCAAGACCGAGGTGGTGATGTAGAGCCCGCGCAGTGCCATCCAGTCGTGTCCTACGGGGTGTCTCGGGCCGAGGCTTTCGAGACTTGAATGAATCGGGTAACAGAGCATCACCGCGGACCGGCGGATTCTGGGGGAAGACCCGCAGGCGTAGTGTCCGGGGATCAGTTCGAAACTTCGAGCACAGTACCGTGACCACCTTGCAGCCCCCCGATGTGGTGTGGCCGAGTCTGGCCATGGTTCAATCCCCCGCGCACCCCCTGATCTCTCTCAATCGGATATAGGAGGTTACGTGCAGCACCCAGCGTGGGCTTTGCCGCATTAGAGTCCGAATATCCGGTCCCGGACATTTGAGCAAGCAAGTATGCGCTGCAACACTGGCGGTGCATCTCGCTAATGGCACGAACCCCTCACATGGGCTCGTCGTCGACTCTCGGGGGATACAGTCGGCGGTATATACCTGACCCCGGAGTCCGAGTGCCTACACAACGAGCAGTGGCTAAGCAGTGGCACTGAGCAGTGAGCACCGCACCGAGCGGCAAATACACCGAGGCAATGGCACCGGCATACGGGCCGCTTGCCCGTTCGTCCCTAGTCCGTTCCCCCGCTCCGCCCGCTCCCCGTGCTTTGTCCGTTGGGCTCGGTGATCCGTCACATACTGTAGCCGCCCGCGTACGGCGCCACCCTCGTGTTTCGCTGCCCTCCGATCCCTCGTCGCTCGGCCCGGGGGTCGACACGACTCGGAGCTTGTCCGTGTCCACAGAGAACGCTCAGGCGGCTCAGAGTTGGGGTGGAGGTGGCGTCCGCCACGGACTTTGGCCAACGGGAAGTGGGCCGAGGGCGGTGCGGACTCAGCGAATCAACGCCGATCCCGATGCCGCTGAACGACGGGATGAGCTCGAACGGGAGGGCGAGGGCGAGGGCGAGGGCGAGGGCCTAGGCGCGAAGCCGAAGCCGAAGTCGATGGGCTCGACGTTGCTGCGCAGGTGGGCGGTAATAGCCAGGGTAATGGTGGTATTGGTATTTGCTTCCCGCGCGGATAATGCTCGGATTTGACACGGTGTGGTATTTCGAGTGGTATTTCCCAACTGTCCCAACCGCGCCAGCCGACCCAACCGCCCCAAATCCACGCAATAACCGCTGAAGAACGAGGCTCATGCACACGCTTGCTGCAGCAACAGCAACACACCGTTCTGCTGCCGAACCGCCATGTGGCCAGACCGCAACGTCGCCTCGCGCAGGTCGGGAAAGTGTTCGCGACTCTCCCAGTCCGGTGCATGAAGCACAATGGCGCAACGGTGCATTTCGACGGGTCGACGGGTCGACGGGGTCGAAGGGTCGACCCGACCGCCGGACCGGCTGGGTCCGGAGGTATACGGATGAATTATTCGAATTCTCCCATCATTCCGCCGTGTCCCTCGCAGGAGTGGACTTGCAGGACCCGCCCCAGCGCTGTTGCCCTGTTCTTTGCCGGGTGGCGCCCGCTCGATGTCGTGCGGCATTGTTGTTGCCAACGCGGTGTGAGGCAGGAGCCTGCGCTTGCGGGTTGCGGCTGTGTGGATATTTAGCAGGATTCTGTACTCCGGCAAGAGCCGATAGATCCCGAAGCACCGATGTACCGCACCGATGGACTGAAGCGCCGAAGCACCGAAGCACCGAAAACACCGGGGGCACGGGGGAGGGGAAAGGGGCAAGGAGCAGAGGGACTGAAGGCAAGACGCCGTGGGCACGGCACCTGGCAATTGGAGTGGGTGAAAGATATGCCGAGAGACCCTGAGGCGGCGTGACAATTACGCTTTGTGTTGTGTTGGGGGGGTGGGTCCTGGTGGAGCGAAAAGGAAAGCGGGCGGGTGAAGCAGCAGAGGGGCGGGAGGGGACGATGCGGGGCGAGCGACAACCGCCGGGTTGGACCGGTTGTAGCGCGCGGGGTCCTGGGTTGCCCCGACGAGGTGCCGAGGGTGCCTCTGGGCGTTGGCGTTGGGCTCAGGAAAAAGAAACGAGAAAAGAGAGTGCGTCACCCCCTGAACCGGTTGTTGTCGCATGAGCCATGAGCCATGAGCCACGGGGCGAACGAGCGCGAGAGCGAGTCGCTTGGTCGCTTGGATGTTGGTTGGACTTGGAGCGGGATGGTCCGGCCCGAGACGGGCGCGGACGTTTGGTGAGGGAAATGTGGACACCGGGGTGGAAGCATGCTGCGACGGGGTGGGCACTGGGGCAGAGCGTGTGCAGGACAGAACCGTTGGCAGTATGGAGCAAAGGATGTCGAAAACAGGGGGCACGTGCAGCACCCACGACCCACGACCCACACTCGGCTCGGGAAGAGAACCAGAGGGGCGGTCGAGGTCACACGGGAGTTGAAATGCAGCCC